CCCGCAGGGACTCGGGCAGCCCCAGCAGCGGGACCCTGGAGGAGTGAGGCGGGCGGCCTGGGGGTGGCGCTGTCCGCGCCCCTCTCCGCCGGCGTTGAGCAGCTGCCTGCCACCTGTAACCTCAATCAAGGGTTCTCAGCTGCACTTTAAGATCTTTGCTGAGGAATTCTGAAAATACTGGCTGACACAGTTAACCTCTCCTCCCGCAAAGACCCAGTTTTAATAAGTTTCGGGCGGGGCTAGACACTATAAAACACTGTTCTAAATAAACCCTCACATTCCTTCACAGGCCTGGCCCTGTCACCATCTGCACTGTGAAAGTTCACATCGCTGGGCTTTATGATTACAATCTACCAAAACAAACATCTAAACCTAATAAACAAGATTGCAGGATACAAAACTAGTACACAAAAATTAACGTACAACCTAGCAACGAAAAAGGAAAATGAAATCACAAAGGAACCCCTATGTTATATAGCATAACATCCAATATGTAGGAATAAATCTCTAAAAAATGTGAAAGACCTCTGCACTCAAAACAATACCTGCTCAAGAAATCAAAAAACAAAAAAAAAGGGAAGATACATATGTTCGTAGATCCGAAACTCAATATAGTTAGGATACCTCCCAAATTGGTCATTAAATTGGACAATCCAGGCCTAATTTTCATCAGACATGTTTAAAGAAATTCATATGATGGTTCTAAGATTTATGTGGAAATACAAAGAGCTTACAAAAAAAAAAAAAAAAAAAAAAAGCCTACAATGGCCAAAAACAGATTGAGAAAAGAAAAGTAAAAGCCAGGTGTCTTAGCCCAACTAGTGATCCCAGCCCTGGTAGGATACAAAGTTGGAACCCAGGTTAGGCAGCTTAAGTGACTTAACCAAAATACTGCCTCAACATTAAAAGAAAGAAAGAAAGAAAGAAAGAAAGAAAGAAAGAAAGAAAGAAAGAAAGAAAGAAAGAAAGAAAGGAAGGAAAAAGAAAAGAAAAAAAATTAAAAATTTAAAAATTAAATTTTAAGGGCCAGGGAGATAGCTCAGCAGAATAAGTGCTTGCCTGGCAAATG